AATAAGAACATATTAAAACATCTTTATAATATAGTTATACTGAATATACCAATTACTATTAAGTTTATTCTCGGATATTTCTATTACCAATCGAATGATCAATTCCTTTTTCAGGACAAGAAAATTAATAATAGATATTTTTATTACCAATGATGTAATCAATTCCTCTTTGGACAAATATCTTGATGTGCTATATCAACTTGGCCATGGTTAGAATCATCATAAGATGTTTTTGTTTTCAGTGATACTTGATAAAATTCAAAACGTATAACAAGTATGTAACCAATGGTTTTCATGCCACATTAACGACAATACGTTTTCTATATTTCTTTTATTCTTTTCATTTTTGTCTTTTCATTATTTATTCACTTCTGATGGGTTACAAGTATTCATCCATTTCTTGATAGGTTATCCACTTTTGGTGGGTTAGTGGGTTAAGGTATCATCTACTTTTGATGTGTGGAAAGTATTCATTTACTTGTGGTAGGTTACAAGTATACATCCACTTTTGGTAAGTGAACCATATATGATGAGTTATCCACTTCTAGTGGATTATCCATTTTTTAGTAGATTATGACATTCATCCACTTCTAGTAGTAAATTATCCATCTACTTCTGGTGGCAAAAGTAAAATTATCCTTATATTTTGATAATAAAATTACCCATCCACCTTTGGTGGTAAAATTATTCTTAGATTCTGATGGTAAAATTATCCATCCACTTTTGGCAGTAAAATTATTCTTAGATTCTAATGGTAAAATTATTATTCACTTCTGATGGTAAAATTATAATTAGAATTAAAATAGTGATAGTGTAAATTATTACAATGTCTTCTTCCATATCCATGATCATAATTATTAAATGATATGGTATTCAATTTAGAGAATAGATAAATTCATGACCATGACCATAATTATTAAATAATGTCACATTCACTTTAGGAAATGAACAAATTTATAATTTTTTTATTTGTAGCTCGTTTGTCACATTCATTTCAGGGAATGGACATTATGATTTCTCATTAGTTGTTATATAATAGCAAATTCACTCTCTAATCAAAAGATAGAATATAATATATACTATATGATAACAAAATTTATATTAAGGTTGATTTTTAGATAATGAAAATATTAAAGAGATATTAAGTCAGTTACTTGATTTGTTACAACAAAAAATTAAAGACCAACCATTGAAGTTCCTTTAAAGCTTAGAGATGATGAAAACAAAATATTAGCAACACTTGATTTGTTAAAACTACAAATCAAAACCGAATAATTGAAATCTTTTTAAAGCTTGAAGATGATGAAAACATAATAATTCCCAAACTTGAGAGATTAGAGAAGATCATGTTGATAACGCGTTATGAAATAAATTTAAAAAGAACAATTATAAAAGAAGTATAAGAGAAAATATTTAAAGGGAAAGAAAGTATTTAGAGGGAATAAGAAGACTTTTTTCAAGTATATATTTACAAATGAAGTGAGAGACCTATTTATAGGCCAACAATCCCTTAAATCATAATCCTAATCTAATTCTATCTAAAAATTCAAATCATATTACATTTTTTTGTATCTTGCTTATTGGGCTGTTTGACTTAGTTTGCACTTCTTAAATCATAACATACTAGACATTCACATCTTTGTTCACAACACAATTGATTTTATATTGAATTTTATCCTAAAATTTTATAAAATATTAGAGCAATATAAGCTTAACAATTTATTTAAAACATTTTTTTTAAATGGGTGATAGAAACTCAGGAACCTCAATTGTCCGTTGAATACCACATGGAAAAAAGAAGAGAAAATATTCAATGCATGGATTGTGACGGGAGGAAAGAAAATATGATATTTTTGGAAGGGTGGTGACGGAGTAAAAGAAGGAGACAGTGCATAGATTATGTGGAGTCTGAAAATATTGAGTGGCTAGAAATTAGGAGTTTAGTAGAGAAAGCCGAATACCACATGGAGGCAGGTGAGCTACAAAAACCTATCCAGGATGAGGTGGAATGGAGGCTAAGCATTTCCTTAATCTCTTTTAGTAATCATAACGAATATAGGGAAGCAAAAGCAAGAGGTTGGGTGCACATAAAGAATTGGTTCCAAAATCAAATAGAGTTGAAGTTAGGGGGAACGAGTTAGAGTTCCAATTTCAATTCTATTCGTCATGGGAACATATATATATATATATATATATATATATATATATATATATATATTAAAGTTCCAAACTGCTACCCTAAAACCATAGTATTTTTTTATATTTATCTTTGTACATCTAATAATATTCTAACTAACCCAAACCCTAATTAAACAAATGCTTATTTAAGTACTAGTCCATGAAATCTATATTTCCAATGGTATGTCTAAAAACCCTTCATTTTCTTTTGTAAATACAAAATTCACTATCTTTTAATTATAAAACAAATACAAGGAAAGCAAAAGTAAAAGAAAGGAAGAGAGAGAAATATGAGAATGAAGCAATGGAGTTTGTCACGACCCGAACCAGGGGGCCGTGACGAATGCATGAATCTAGCAAGTGGAGCCTGCAAGACTCGAATGAACCTCGAAATATCCAACCACAATGTACTAATTCGAAGGTTCACAACCGCAGCCTACATTTTCATGGTTTAGATTAAACATTTTAAACATTGCTTCCTTGACACATAGTTTAAACAAATAATCATATATTATAAACGTAAGCCATAGGTTGGCTAACATAGTGGGTCCATCCTGTACAACAACTAATAGAGATAGATGGCTCCGACAACATATTATAGTTTGAAAATCAAAAATCGGAAGCGAAAAAAAGACTTGGAGTCAGACTCAGCGGAGCGGATTTGTCATATGAGGAATGCCTACTCGTCATATGAAGATCAGATGCAAGAAATTAGGAAGCTTTAATACATACCACAATTACAACTTATCACATACTTAACACATCAAGCTTCAAGGCTACAAGGTGAAACCAGTCAATATGGTTTGAGTTAAAGTAAGAACAAGCAATATAGTTGCAGCAGCTGTTGAAGCACTTCTCCAAGGTGTGCTGAAATACTGACGGTATAGGGTCGCTTTATAGCTATGCCAAGGCTGATTGTAGTAGTTGTTCAGCTCTACTATAAGACGAAAGAACCTTCCGTTAATCCATCCTTTACCAATATTTACGCAAAGACTGTTAAACAAACGAGCCACTTCATCACCACTTCCAAGCCAGTGCTTAATAATTTTCATTTCCACTAGTAAATCTACATCTTTGCTAATGTCAAGAAGGTAATCCATAATTGTGAAATAGTCACTGATGAATGGTTCATGCGGATAGTGATATTGCTCCAGGGCAATGAGGTTGCGGAAACAATCTGCTGTTTCATCCCATATATGCAGAGACGGTGTTTCGAGTACTGCGTTGGAAAATTTTATGTCAAGCAAGCATTTGCTTTCGCTTGTGCGGAACTTCACACCTGCTGCATGTAGTTGTGTTGCGCTAGGAAAATGTTCACGTAACTCTTCATAAGGACAGTCAACTTCATCTTCATCGCAATTTTGTTTTTTCTCCTCAAGTTTTCCACCATTGCCACTACTCTCTGCATCTTTAATTGGCGGTAAAAAGAAAGCTCTCAACAAGACTGTGAAATGATTTATTACTCCTGTGATGGACTTCTTTTGATGATCATCGTAAAGCTTGAAAAATTTGCATGCAAGGTCAAGGAAGGGAGGGTAAGTATCTGAACAAGAGCCAAAGGCCAAGTCGTATAGTTTTCGAATAACAAATAATGGAAGTTGATTTTCTAGTAGCCACAGATCAGTCCTTATGATAACAAAGACATAATCCGTTGGTAGCCAGGTTTCTACGATGTTTTGAAAAGCGTCCTCAAAAAGAGCTCAATGATGAAGGCGGCATCCACAAGAATAAGCCTCAAAAAGTCCTCACTTCTGATATGGTTCAAGTTCTCCGCATAACTACTACGGATGCCATTTTCCAAAGATTTTAAAATGTTGAGAAAGTTACCTAAGCAGGGAAAGTCTTTGGCTCTTTCAATCTCAACTTCTTCCGGATTAACAAATACCATTCGATCTTTCAAGCTGGTAAGTTGATGCTGCTCATGTACCTAGCAGTCTTGGTAGCACATTGAGGGAATTGCTCCAGAAATTTGACTTTCGTCTCTCCCATACCCGTTAAATGTTCCTGGAAATGATGCATGGGACCAACTGAAACAATTTTAGGCGTGAAGGCTGCTTTGTCTACATCACCAAGTACATGCGCTCGGTAGATACAACAGCGACGAGATAAAGGACGCCCCGCGTTCTTGCTCATAAGTTTTTCTGTGTCAATCACCCAATTTTTGTGAGAATGTTCATTTTGCTCTTCTATTTGAGTTTCCACAATATCACCTTCAGTTTCCTGGTTTATATCTCAAAGTTAGGGGGAAGGAAGGAATTAGAGTTCCAATTTCAACTCTATTTGTCATGGGAATATATACATACATACATATATATATATATATATATATTAATTAGAGTTCCAAACTTCTACCCTAAAACCATAGTATTTTTTATATTTATCTTTATGCATCTCTTAATATTCTAACTAACCCAAACTCTAATTAATATATATTTCCATGATAAAAAATGCCTTAACTATTTTAACACTCTTATTTTTCAGAAATGTTGTTCTATGAGAGTACCAAGACTCCCAAATTTTCTGAGGTTGCTCAAGAAAACTTTTTACTAATTAAACAAATGCCCTTTTCAGGAAATGGATATTTCCAATGTTATGGGTAAAAGCCCTTCATTTTCTTTTGTGAATGCGCAATTCACTACCTTTTAATTATAAAACAAATGGATTTTGCTTGCATTTAGTAGAATTTTTCTTTTTGAAAAAGCATGATGGATTTATTAGAAGTTGAAAGTGAATTTAAAGGAAATAGCATAAATTGGTCTTCCCTATTTATTTTAACAAAAAACAAAATCATAATATATATATATAAAAGTACAGATATTGAAAGATTTTTTGATTCATGAAGATAGTCATATTAATTTATTACATTTTTAAATTACCATTTTAAATATTTTTATTATAAATAATAATAAGATTTATCTAATTAGTAAATAAGTATTCTGATTGCCTAAAATGACAAATTTCTCATTATAAATATTAATAAAATTTATCCAATTTATAAAGAAGAATTCTAATTACATTGAATAATTTTCATTAAAGAATATTTTTCCTAATTCTAATAATATTTGAATAATTTGTAGATTGATGTTACAAAATTTCAATTATTCATACCTTAATTTCATACTTTAGAAACATATGTTTTGATATATAGTTATTATTTAAAAAGAATAAATCAAGTATTTACATGTATTTTAAAAGTATAAATGTTAGAAAATATTTGGACGTTTTTACTTAATGTATTTCTAAATTGTCATTGTAAATTCTTTTATCATAAAAATTAATGAAATGTATCCAATTTGAAGTAAAAAATCTTCATGTATTAAATGACTTTCACTAAAAAATGCTTCTCTTAATTGTAATATTAGGATCGAATAATTTAAAAGAAAAGCCAATAAATCTTGATGATTTGCGTGTGTGGATCCAATTTAAAATTGAAAATTGAAAATTGAAAATAATGGTGTTTTGAAATAGTAACAGCTTAATGTAATTTTTGCTAAACGGCACGTCTAGCTGGTGTCCGACCGTTACACCCCATGTCAAGCTATCATAAGCACCTCTATTGCATGAGTCCAAATATATGAATTTCAAATTATATAGAGTCCAACATAACAAGAACTCATATATTAAATCTAAACTCAGCCTTTCTGTGTTAGAGGTTCATATTTTTAATTTAAAAGACATATTAAGTAAAGAAAGACATATATTTATATATTAAGAATCCATCCCATCTCTTACTGAGATGGGATCTATGACATTTTACCACACCAACTTGTGCATTGTTTTTATTGCACTAGCTTTTTACCCATAAAGTTACATAGAGGAGAGGAACCTTCACACTAGTCTGAGTCTATCTTGACCCTTATATTTCTTATAAAGGATCTTACATCAGTAAAGATTTAAGTCTACCCTTATGTCACTTGTCATGGTTCACCCCAATTCAAAAAACATGCCTAATAAGTAGAGGATTATACCAAAGCCCACCCGCCTCTTATTGATAGGTGAAGACACTTTTTGTGGACAAAATCATAAGACCAGCGGGTCAAAATGGACAATATCTCACTTGATGTAAACTAGGACAAGAGGTAATTTAACAATTTTAACTCTTCAAGAAACAATAATTCTAAGATAATTTAACAAAATTACATAAAATAAAATTGTTCTTCACTTAAAATTGTTAAAACTCATGACTTTTAAAAAACCCAATTTATCAAACATGATTTTATTGAATTACTAAGATATAATTCGACCAAACATCAATTCTCCCATTTAGTCAACTAAAGACTTTGAAACTCCAATACCATGGTAACTCATTAAATATACCAGCAAATCTGATGAACTACTTTCTATTTGGCTCTACTTACGTGGAAAACATATGAATTGAACTTGAAAAGGTACTTGTACCTAGTTTGGCAGCCAAAATTCTAAGGTCCCCTACTTGCTCTGCTTCTAATCATGTGGGATAATTGAAGTACATAAAATTTGTTCCATCCATCATTGGATCCATCACGTGGGATATGTCATTAAACATGGCTCGGTATCTACTTTCGACATTCCATATTAGTTCTCATAATTAATGACTAACCTTATGAATTTAGGAAACTAATTTTTCTCAAATTCATCATGCTTTGACCAAAGACTTCATGCAAGTTAATCAAGAATTGAGAACAAGTGAGATACATTCCCTCATATCACTTGGGGTGATGAATCCTCTCTTGACTACTCATTCACCTTCGCATGCTTCATGGCATATCCAAAAACACCCTATTTAGATATTTGGTTACTTCCAAACCCATAGGGGTGAAATCAAAATATGCCATTCCCCATACAAGATGACCTGGTGTCTCAAGTCTTAAGGCTAGTTGCATGACTATTATATGAGAACATATTTCATAGACACTTAAGTGAAATAACAAATGGAGTTCTCATAGCAAGTTATGCTTAGTGAACTTGTTCTTTAACAAGCACCTACATGTTATCCTCAAGTATCCCATATACTTCAATTTATGAGATCGATTGCTTACTTCCCAAGTAAGGAGGCTTAACATGTACCAGTCTTTGAGCATTGTTAATGCCCTGTCTTGACAGTACAATGACTAGGAACAATTTTAGGAACATGGCTTTGATGCATAGTGATCTCATAATTATAACAACTTTATAATTCTCTTGCAAGGCCTTTATGTTCCATGGGCTTCATCTAATTAGTACTTAATAACTCCTTATTATTACACTAACATAAAGAAAAACCTCTATCACATAAAATTATGTGATTAAATATGTATTAAATGACAATATATATTCCTTGACCAATCTAATTGGCTTAATGGCATTTACCAACAATCTCTCACTTGCACTTGAGTTAATTGCTAACGTATCCAAGATCGAACTTTTTTGCTTAACAACTATGTCTCTATTAGGACAACTCAAAATGCAATATTTGAGAACATGTTAATTTATATATTTGACAATCTCTATTGTTATAATCAAAATACTAATTTAGATCACAACAAGACCGTGATTCCATTATAATGGCTCTTGTTGTTACTTTAACAACTCATAAACCTTTATTGTTTCATCAAACCAATGATCCAAATATCTCTTTTTTTGTATTCTAAACAAAAGGTTTGTATTCGATTA